AAAAATAACAATGGACATGTCCCTAATCTACTAAATTCTAAGAATTTCTCTGTGAACAAATGAACATCATCTCTCAAACAATGAGAACCTCCTTAACTCTGCCTTTCCAAGAAGTTCAGAGCCAGATCTGAAATCTTCACCTGTTCTACCTGGTGGTAGAGTTAACTGTGTATTTGGTATTTCTTTCTCCACCACTAGAGAGAGCACTCTGTTATGTGCCCAAAAGAGTTATCTCAAGATATACAATTTTAAATCAGGGTTCTATAAAAGGCTCTTTTACATAAACAGTAAACAGGAAAAAATGAGGGATTTTTAAAAATAATTAAAACATACTTCCAACATACCAGCTATCATTTCCCCAAAATACAGTTAGATGATTTTAGAAAAGTTGAAAATGACTCCATCATTTTAAACCACACAAATTTGTTGTAATTTCTTTCTTCTTGGCTTATTGCTTTTAAATGGATACAGCATAAATCCACCTCTCCTTGCAATCCTTTGCTAATAAAATAATTTCATGGTCTGACTCTAATATTACTAAACTCAAATTAATTATATATCAGAATCTGAAGAGATAAATGATATTTTATAGCTATAGAGGGGAGATTTTAAAGTTCCCTTAGGTATAGGTTTTTAAAACAATGACATTTATTTTGAGCCTTCTTTATTATAGTATCTGATCTGATGGAAAGTCAGTATTGAATTAAAGATGATCATGAGATTGAAATAAATTAACTCTTTCAGGACACCAGAGTTTTATAATTTAGACACTAAATTTCCACCAATGCAAAATTTGAAATACCCATTGTCCACAATCCTCCAGGCCAGTGTTTCTAAAACTTGTATAATATGTACAGTCTCTTTAAAGCAACAACAAAAACAAGGACAAAAATCTTCTCTTTGAACCTCTGTGTTAAATCATTTTTATTATAGTGTTACTTAAAAATATGTAAACATAAAAGGAAGTATAAACTCCTTGTGCTTATAACACTTAAAAAACATAATTATAACACAGTGTGCTGTATGATGATAATTCTCCTAATACTTTGTTTGTGGAGCCTCTTTTCGCACAGTGTCATAATTGGCCTTTTTCTATCTCTGTTCTTTTTTTTATTGACACTTCTTGGGACCATGGTAGTATCTACAAACGTGAACACTGGGTTTATATGGCAGTGTGTGGTTAAATTATTATGGGAAATCAAAACACAGATACAAAAAAACAATTGAAGGATAATTTTCAAAGGGGCAGAGTATTTTTATATAAATATGAAGAACTATCAAAATTTTATTTTACTCAATTATTAACAAGAAAACCAGTAAGATGTTATTGATTAGCTTAATGTAGAACTCAAATTAATGCACATACATAGTTGAGTCAAGAATATTAAAATGAATCTACAAAACTAGATTTTCCCCTAGGGTTGGAGTGGAGAGAAAAATCAATTGTCTCTTCATGAAAAGAAATTCATATGTTTTTGGATAAGTATCATATTAATTTCAATTATTTTTCTATAATGTACAGCCTTATAAAATGACTCAGTTAACCCTCTATAGAATCAGGAAAACTAGAAGGGTCTGTTAAATAATGCTTACTGTTCCAATGAAGATACCCAGTGTTCTTTTGCTTCATTTCAAAGTTTTTTATATTAAATATATGAAACCTACACAGACAGGAATTATAATTCCTAATCAGCAATAGAGGATTTCTTTTGAACTTGTCACTGACAGGAATGAGAAAGTAATTAAAGTGCCATTCTACAAGTTGGATTGCAATCTGACAATATTTTCTGATGGTATAGAGTGGCTCTCATATTTGAGGTGGTTTTCTAGAGTCCTAGTTAAATTTGGAGTTCAGGAGACCATTTTCTGTCCTGCCAGGAGGATGTAACCCAAACCCTAATTTATCTGGTCAGAGACTAGGAAGATTCGTAGATACCAGTAAAAGGGTAATGTGGATATTTGGTTGATTAACTATAAAGCATTCATCATCCATTATAGCCTTTAAAGCAAGCTTCTCATTCCAAACCCAATTTTTGAAGTCACTGTTATAAACATGTTCCCATTTATATCATTCTTTTAAAAATCATTCTTGTTGTCTTCATTTTCACAAAATAAACAATAGCTTGGTTCTTCTTAGAAGGCTTGGAAATTCATTAACTTAGTTGTTTGGTTCATATTTCATTCTTTTCATTTTAATTGTATTCTTTCATCTATTTAATCTTCTAAATGATTCTTCTCATTTTGGAAAAAAGATTTTGAACAACTAGGTTGTAGAACCATAAAAAGGAACAAGAGGAGTTTTGCTACTAGTTAGGCCATGGAAAATTTTCATGTGCTTTCAAAATGGGATTGCCCTCAGAGGGACTGCCTTTAAAAGTCTGGGGGTAGTAGTGATGGGGGGGATATTTACCTGAAGCCATTTTATATTGGCATGCTGGTCTATTCATGGTTATATTTTGTTTGTATATCTAACACTGCACCTGTCACAAGCTTGGATTTATCGTGAGTATGCATAATGCTTGCTGCTGGGAGAGCCTGCAAATCCCTCATTGGCAGCAGAGTCACCAGAAGTAGATGCACCTGTCTTCCCAGCTGGGACTTGTTCATGGAAAAGAAGGTCATTTAACACCATGTTACCCTCGTGGACAGCTGTGTATATAAATTGCCTTAGGGAGTAGAAGACCTAAATTCTGTTAAAAAGGTCTTCAATGGCCAAATGAAATTTGACTTGAAAAATATTTTGATGTTTTGATTAATTAGATTCACAGCATATATGGGCTTGGTTTAATAAAAAATTTGGTTTGCTTTGATCTAAACACTATCATCTTTTAGTGACTCAGCGAACGCCAGTATTTTCAGCTCAGATTAGCTTGGGGTTTAGTATAAAGTAGTTCATTCTGTTTTGATGCAAGCCCTTGGTTGAAACATGGGCCTTCTCTCAATGCTACAGCCATGACTTGTTTTTGTCTTTTTTAATTGTCTATTTTCTCCCAGTAGACTCTAAGATCTGTAAGAGTAGGGGCTGTGTCTATGTTGCTAACCATTATTTTTCTCTAGCACACTGCCACTGTGTTAATTCTGGATATATTTGTGCTTAGTAAATCTTCTTAAGTGGATGAACGAATGAAAGAATGACAAACTGGTTTTCACTAAACAGTCCTTCTTAAAGACTCCCTGATTCAAAATCATTCCATAAACCAAGAAATCTCTTTGAGTCTCCTTGTTTGTTTGTTTGGTTCTGATTTGAGGCATAAGCTAATTACAATAAAATGGACAGATTTTAAGAGCACAGTTCCATGAGTTTTGTTAAGTGTATGTACCCATGTAACCACTATTCCAATCAGGATATATAATCTTTTCATTATTCCAGAAAGTTTCCTCATGCCATGTTTCCATTAATTTCTCACATCTACTGTTCTGATTATCATTATAGTTTATTTTTTATTTTCCTGGAACTTCATAGAAATATAACCATAAAGTGTGTGCATTTTTTGTATGTAGATTATTGCACTCAACCTTAAGGTTTTTAGATTCATCAATTCTCACATATATTTAATTGGATTAATGGGAATCAAAAAATTTCCCATGATAAAAATAGGATTAATAATGAAGGACTGTACTTTTTTTTGTAAGGCTAGTCAAGTGAAGCAGTGGGAGTAGAGAAGGAACAAAGAAATCTGTAACTGGTTGTGATCAATTAGTTGTAAACACCACTGCACTCAGACCAGCCAAGGACTGTACTGTTTTAAAAAAGAAAACAAAACACTACCAAATGCCTCTCCTTAGAGAATTTATTGTTTCTGTTTTCCCTAATCTCTAAGTCTTTGCTTTTAAGAACTCCAAAGATATACGGAATATTTCATAGAAGTGGAGTTCACAATTACTATCAAACTTACATCATTGCATTATGAGCCTCTACAGGCAAAGCATTGACAAAACAAGCAGATCAAGAGGTCATATTTTAGAGCAGATAACACAGCCCGGGCTTCCCGACTTTCCAGGCTGCTGCTTTATAATACATTTCTACACTGTTGGTGTCCTTTTAGCTCAAGACACTTCTGTAGATAATTGCCTATACAAAACAGGTTATAGAAGTTAAGGAAGGGCACCAAAATTAGACATTCCACTGAAAGCCTTCTTTAACATATTTTCAGTAACATATAACTCTTTGGTGTGATTGGGTAGAATTGCAACAGAGGTTTACAAAGAAACATAGTTTGCAGGCAGTGGAAAGAAGCTTGCCAAGTAAAGCCTGTGGAAGATGGATTCATGGAATTATAGCAGTGTGTGATTGACTGCCAAAGCCAGCTTATTTTCTTTGCTAGTTCCACAAAAGAATGCCTAAAACTTTGTGTTGATGGAAGGCTAACTTCTAGAACATGCTGGCAGAACACACTCTTTCACTGGCTCAGGTCAGCATTATTATAGACTCAATGGGATACTTAGGACTCTGGTAGGGATTTTTTAGGTCAGAAAATGTTAGGCATAGGAGATTAGGGACTAAAATTGTTAGTTTATCATAGCATATTAAAACAATAAGACAATCTTAGAGAAGCCACACAACAAAACTGTATAAGACTAGCAATATTCTACTTCTCTTACAGAAACATTTGCTCTTAATGAGACCACAGAATAAAATTATTAATAATTATCTAGGGGAAAGTAAGCAAATAATCATGGAAAGTAGTTAAAATTACTTTGTAACAGGTAAAGACATTATTCATACAAAGATGGATAAGGGAGAGATTATAATGACGTAAAGGAAGAAAAATTTCTTTTCAAATTAACTGTTCTCCAAATGCTGGCTGTTTTGTACAAAATAGTTTGATGCAAGATATGTGGAAATTTCACAAAGTGGCAAAAATAGAATCTGAACAACTTGAAACAAAGTGCTAATGTCAGCTGAAGTGCTCCAAGGTTACTCATATATTTTTCTTTCCTCTTAGACCTGTTAGAGACACTTCAAGAACTGCTCAGTCCAGGAGTGGAGGGATTGTGTGAAGACAGACGCTTCACCCTGAGAGGAGGGCAGACATTTTCATCATAGGGTAACAGCCTGTTCCTATTTTTGACTTTAGAGCCTTTGAAAATTAATGAAACTGTGATGTAAAAATGGACAATGTTATCTGAAATAGCGCGTGCTCTGAATTTGTTTATAGCTTTGTAGCATTTCATGCTTTATAACTTTCACAGGAAGTATGTTCAGAAATAATTCCCCAGCAAATATTATCCTTACGTTTGAAGTAGGATGATATGTAGAAATGAGGGTAATTGCAAAGCACCAATCTGGCCACTTTGGAGCATGAACATCATTAGCAGAGATTCTCTGGTGAGGTGCCTCTCATCCTTTTCCTTGTCATGGTGCACATGGGACATGCTGATGTTCTTATGGCACGCTGAAGGGGCTGCTCACCTGCCGAGGTGACTGACAGTGCCTGGTGGCTCCAGGGCTGAAGTGATGGAATCTTGGTGCATCTGCGAACCATGGTGTGGGGAAGCTGCATTGGGGAGCGGTGGAAATTCGCCTTTTTGAAAGCAGGGAAGTGCCCGCTGCTTTTTATGCATCTCTATAATTGGAGTTTGAATGTAGAGGAGTTTTTCTTAGGAAAAAAAAAAAATAAGACTTCAGGTTCTAAATTTTCATGTGAAGTTATTTTTTTCCTAAAGATTGAACAGTATTCCTGAGCCAAGAAACTTGAACGTAGAATATTTCCCTCCTTCCTCACCATCCACACAGTGAAAGAGAACTCCTCCCTTAGAGGACCCATGGGCACCTCTCAATTCTGGCAGGACCCGTTGTTTTCCTAGGACTCTGGTGAGGTTTATGCAACACAAAATCTGCCCCAAGGGGTCTTAGAGTACTCCCCATGACTGAGGTAGTTGTATACTTTTAGGTCTCACTTCAACATTTGGTCTAGTCTGGGTAATTCCTGATTCTGTTGACCTAGTAGTCATTTAAGAAATGATTAAGGGTCCAACAGATTTGGGGCCTGATTCAAACCCAGACTGAATGGTAGCTTCCAGGGCAATGCAGCCTGGAAACTGTGGTATTTCTTCTGTGCCTTATTCCAACAACATCAGAAGTACCACCCTGGGTACCACCTCAGGAATAAGAAGTAACAACTGGGATGCCCTGTCATGTCCCCATGAAAGGATGCTGTAAAATGTTCTACAGTCACAATTTTAAAAGTGGTCCCATCTTAAAGAATTTTTGTCTTCTTTTGGTTTGGTTAAGTCCTACAACTTCCTTGTCTTAGATTTTACTTTTGCTTTTGTTTTTTGTTTTGTTTTGTTTTAATTAACTGACTTCTTCTTAGAGCAGTTTTAAGTTTGCAGAAAAATTAATTGGAAAGTATGAAATTCCTACATACCCTTCCCCCAATTCACAGATAGGTTCCCTATTATTAACATCTTGGATTAATGTGACACATTTGTTACAATTGATGAACCAATATTTATACATTCTTATAAAGTCCCTAGTTACATAATAGTTCAATCTTTGTGTTGTACATTTTATGGGTTTTGACAAATGTGTAATGACAAATTTCCATCATTGCTGGATCATACAGAACAGAGTCACTGCTCTAAAAATCCTCTGGGCTCTCCCCCCCCTCCCCTCCCTCTGCTGGCTGAAACTCTGGCAATCTTGATCTTTTTACTGCCTCCATAGTTTTACCTTTTCCAGAATGCCATATACTTGGAATTATATAGTATGCAGCCTTTTCAAATTGGCTTCTTTTACTAAACAATATACTTTAAAGGTTCATCTATGTCTTTCTGTGGCTTGACAGCTCATTTCTTCTTATCACTGAATAATATTCCACTGTACGTATGTACCACATTTTGTTTATCCATTCACCTACTGAAGGATATTGTGATTGCTTCCAAGTTTGAGAATACTTTAAAAAAAAAAAAAAACAACTCTATAAACATTTGTTTAAAGACTTTTGTGTGGACAGAAGTTTTCAACTCATTTGTGTATGTATCAAGAAGTATTATTACTAGATCCAGTGGTTAAGAGTATATAGCTTTGCAAGAAACTGCCAAACTGTATTTCAGATTATATTTCAAAGTAGCTGTAACATTTTATATTTGCACCAGAAATCAAGGAGAGTTCCTGTCACTCCACATCCTCACAAGCTTTTGGTGTTGTCAGCACTTTGAATTCTAGCCATTCTAATAGATGTGTGGTGGTTTTTCATTTTCTTATGTTTTAATATAATTATTTACAAAAGATATTGTGACTATCCAGAAGACTCTGGATTCTTAGCTACTAGATTCTTAGCTTCAGTGTTTACTTGGTAATGACTTTGATTAAGAATCTGAGCTTCTGCCTGGCAACACCTACTATAAGAATGTGGTTTTGTGAAATTAGTGTGTGTAACACTCAAGTGTGTGTGTACATGTGAGTTTGTGTGATTACCTACTTTTCTCTATTATAGAAAGAGGTCATAATAGGCAAAGACTCTTCTAATAATACACCACTGAAATGAAAATGCACATAAGATATAAAAGAATTTTTGTTTCTAAAAATGAAATATGCATATTCTATAGAAACTGATATTAAAATAGGCTGTTTTGATGCTGTTCAAAGCTAGCTTTCTGGCATGAACTACAGTTTTATATATAAGCCATATCAAATTAAGCAGTCTAAATTTTTGCATTTATTTAAATTCAGCCATGCAGATATAGTCATAAAAAGAGATTCTTCATGATCCTTTCAAATTATAGTAATTTTTCTGTATGCTTGATGCATGCTTTAGATTTGATTGTATTGTTTTGTAAATATTTCTGATGAGAACAGCTTCCCTAGTAGAGGGCTACTATTTCCAGTGTAAGGACTGATCTCTCATATCTTTGAATATATTATAATTCCTGACACCTAATAGAATTTTAGTAGACACTTATTTTGTTAATGTATAGAGAACCCTACATAAATAATTATAAAAATGTATTAACAAAGTTGAAGATACCAGACAAGCAATATAATTTAAGAAAATATGAGGGAAACCACGTTAAGTGGTTTAACATTACACAAAGTCATATAAATGATTTTGTGTAATGTTCAAAACTAGCCTATTTAATAGAGTATGAATCTGATTAAAAAATTAAACAGCTAACATAGTTAAGTAGTTTTTATGTACAAAACAGAGTCTCAACAGTGACAGAAATGCAAAGAGAAAATAGACATGCTCTATACTTTCTGGAAAAGATGCATTCTTGTGTTGGGGGATAGGGAATAGTGGAAACAGGAACTATGTCGTGCTAGTGATCACAAATTAAATATATATACACATTTTATAGAGAATTAGAATGATAAGAGGTGTATTGTCATTGTAAGTACCTTAAATCTATGTTGCAAGCTCACTGATAGCATAGTATATGGCAGATTGGATTTTCAAACATTAGCATGCATAGGAATTACTTTAGGTCTGTTTAAATTTCGTTTTCCTAGACCCCATACTTAAATATCTGATTCATTTGTAGAGTCCATGATTCTTCACGTTTATCAATCCCCCAAGTTATTGTGTTACTGGCAGTCTGTAGTCCACACTTTAAGAACACTGATCTGCACCATTTACAATCTTTATCCCTTCAGTGTGATTCATGTTAGGCAGTACTCCTGAGACTGGGGAGACAGGGAGATCAAGCCAAAATATAGGAACCAAGAGAATAGACCAACAATATTGAGTAACTTCACGGCCCCTTAGGGTGGCATGGTTCATGGAGGATTGTCATAAGAGTCTGAAAATAGGAAAACAAACTCATTGAAGAAACCAGGTCAAAAATTGTGTCCAGTATTAGAACATTTAAAAAATGAATGAAGTGCATATTTTAAAAATAGAATAAATATTTAATAAATATGTAAAAATCATAATACAATTACATATATATTCAATGACTATTTTAAAAGGTATCAGTTGTGATATTTATAGTTATAGTGAAAATGATAAACACCTAAGAAGTCCAAAAATAGGAAAACGGTTAAGTTGTTAGTACCCCCATTGCAAAGGAATATTATTTTCGCTGCTTTAAAGAACAATGACATGTAGAACATATCTAGAGTAAACTTAAGTCAAAGGACAATGAGAATCTGTAACTGCATATTTGATATGACTGTATCCATATAAAATAGCATATGTGGTAAAATTTCAGGTGTTTTGAATTCTAAAATTTTCTTAAAGAGTATATGGTACTCACAAAATCAAATGTTAGACTCTAAAACCTAGATGAGGTAAATCAATAATCACAAGCTTTAGTCTCATAAATTTTAAATTTCAGAGTAAATACTTTTAAAGTCAAAAGGTGTTTTGGTATTTTGCTATTTCCTGAGCTCATGGTAAGCTCTCTAAAGCAGTAATACCTATACCTGGCCAATTACCAGAATCACTGAGGGGACTTTATGAAAATACAGATTTCTTAGAAACTTGACATGTGATTCAGTTTCTACAGATTTGAGTTGGGGACCTGGAATCTGAATTTTCTTTAGATGTCATGTTGGTAGCTTTACTGATTAGCAAAGGTGCTGTAGACTAGACAATTTTTGTCTTCAAGAATTTCTACAATGACATGTATATGACAAAAAAAGACAAGGAAAAATGATGTCAAATTCTAGAATGTTTAATGTACATTACATAGTAATTAAAGTAGTTCAGAGGAGGGAAAGAATAACATGAGGAAGATTACTTGGGAGGGACTTCTAGAACAAGAACCTCATAAGCATTGGTGGCAGAGATAGGAATACGGCAGAAACCAAAAACTCCATCATTAAATTCACAACTTTCATGTTGTTAAGATGGGAAGTGGTGAGAAGAGAGACCTTGAAACACTTAGAGATGGCAGTAATAGAGTGGCACCCTTTTGGAACACCAGCTTTCTTACCAATCCGAAGTATAAGTCCCCACCCCTTCCCTAGAGTCCCAGGTCTCTTCCTAGGCTTCTTCTCCCAGGCTGGATCCTAGATTAGAGGCAAAAGATGACTCCAGAGAAGATGCTGCCCAGAATTTTGGGATGGGAAGTCATGTGTAATATATACATCCGAGTTTCT